GTTAGTAACGACCCAAGAGCGAGTCATAGCCGAAACTATTCTGATGATATCCCGGACGTCAGTGTGAGCGAGATTAGAATGGCTCTCCAGCACCTTAAAAACGGCAAGGGCCCAGGCGAGGATGGAATTACAGCGGAGCTTCTGAAAGCGGGTGGAAAACCGGTACTTGAAGTCCTTCAGAAGCTCTTTGATTCCGTCCTCCATGATGGCATTACACTGGAGGCGTGGAGCAGAAGTGCGGTGGTCTTGTTCTTCAAGAAAGGTGACAACGCTCTCTGAAAAACTAGACTGATTTCCCTTCTGAGCTGGGTCTACGTGCTGTTTTCGAGAGTCATTACGAATCGTCTCGCGCGCAGACTTGACGACTTCCAGCCACCCGAACAAGCCGGTTTCCGAAAAGGCTTTAGCACTATAGACCACATACATACCCTTCGGCAAATTGTACAGAAGTCCGAGGAGTACAATTTGCCACTATGTCTGGCGTATGTGGACTATGAGAAAGCCTTTCATTCCGTCGAAATTTGGGCGGTGCTGCAGTCTAGTAGGGCTAAGATGGCTATCCGAGTACAGAACCAGAGTACGAAACCTATCCAATTGCAGAGAGGTGTAAGACAGGGTGACGTTATATCCTCGAAACTCTTCACCACTGCGCTGGAAAGGATACGGTATTAACATCAATGGCGAGTACATCACTCACCTTCGATTTGCCGACGATATAGTCCTTATGGTAGAATCGCTGGAGGACCTAAGCACTATGCTCAATGACCTCAATAGTGTTTCCCAACGGATAGGTCTTAAGATGAACATGGACAAAACAAAGATCATGTTTAATGTCCATGTCACACCTATGCCGGTAGTTGTTGGGAGCACTAAGTTCGAAGTTGTTGACGAGTACGTTTACCTGGGACAAATAGTCCGATTAGGTAAGTCTAACTTCGACAGAGAGGTCAATCGACGGATTCAACTCGGTTGGGTAGCGTTCAGGAAATTACGGCACATCTTCTAGTCAGGTATTTAAAACTTAAAACTTGAAATCGAGACTGTACAACCAGTACGTGTTGCCAGTGATGACTTATGGAACTGAGACGTGGTCCTTCACTGCTGGCGGGATGAGGAAGCTCAAGGTCGCTCAGCGAGCTATGGAGATGGCTGTGCTGGGAGTTTCTCTGCGTGATAAACTTCGAAATGAGAATATCCGCAGTAGAACCAGAGTCACCGACATAGCCCAACCCATTAGTAAGCTGAAGTGGCAATGGTCCGACCATATAGCTCGAAGAACCAACTACCGATGGGGAAAAAAGGTTCTCGAGTGCCGGCCTCGTACCAGCGGACGAAGTGTAGGGCGTCCCCCCACTAGATGGAGTGACTACCTGGTAAGATATGCAGGAAGGCGATGGATGCAGGTGGCTCAGGACCGTGCTTTGTGGCATTCCTTGGGGAAGGCCTATGTTCAGCAGTGGACTTATGAAGGGCTGTAATGATGACTTGAGACTTGATATGGTTTCAGACCCAAATCTAACACACTATCAACGACCTTGTTACCAAAATAAAAAACAATATAGATGAAAAAAAGTTTGCTCTTGGCATCTTCATTGATTGACTAAAAAAGGTATTTGATACAGTCTCCCATAAAATTATCTTGGATAAGCTACACGATATAGGTATCACAGGAAAGCCTCTTGAACTTCTTAAATCATACCTCTCCGACCATTATCAAACAGTTAAACCTGCAAAACACAAAAGCAACCCAAATCAGATAACGTACGGCGTCCCTCAAGGCTCAATTTTAGGACCATTGCTCTTCCTTATTTACATAAATAACGTAAGCACATTAGAACTAAAAGAAGACCTATTGCTACATGCGGATGATACCAGCCTATTTTACTTCGGTAACAGTATTGAATACATTAATCAAGACGCGCAAAATGATCTAAATATACTTAACATGTGGTTTTGCTCAAACCTACTTACAATAAACATAGCCAAAACAAACTATATGATTTATGCAGCAAAAAATAAAAAAAATACCTGATCACACACCTCTAAAAATTAATGACATTGTAATCAATAGAGAAACAAGCGAGAAGTATTTGGGCCTTGCTTTAGATAACCAACTGACACGGAGAGAACACCTGAAAAATTAAAACTAAAACTGATATCCCTAACCGCAGCAATAAACGGAATAGTTCGCTGCCTTCCACAGAAAGTCCGTTACACTGTCTATAACTGCCTAGCTAAGCCACACATAGACTATCTTGTAGAAATCTGGGGATCAGCTGGCAAAACTAACCTCAATTCTGTTCAAATTATGCAAAACAAGTTGATCAAAAATTTTTTCCATTATGATTTCCTGACATCTACAACCAAAATATACAAAGATACTAAAATACTTAACATAGAACAATCAATATCATAAATAAAAAAATACATACTAAATTAACATTTAAAAAAAAGAAAAATGTACAAACTAAAATGTTAAAGTGCTAATAACTTAATTCTGCAATGGCCAAGAACAAACTATGGAAAAAAGAAGTGCACAACTTTACAATAAATTGCCTACAGATATCAAGGAAGCTAAAAGTATTCTAACATTTAAAAAATTGTTAAACATAGCTTACAGACTCACAAACTATAATAACGCATTAACTACTTAATAAACAAAAAAAAAACAATAAAAAAACAAACAAATAAATACATAATGAACAAATAAATAGTAAAAACCATCAATATGGTTATTAACCAACATTAAACATTCATATTAATAATTAATAAAATATAACAATCATTCTCATTGTGATAGCTAGTCAATTTTAGTCAAACATCTTTAAATCAATGTATCTGCTCCATTTCTTTTTGTTTGCATGGCCGATCTTCGTCCTGTTATGGTGGTAATATTTCTTTCTACCTGCACGGCTAGTATGGGCTGGGGACAAAATTTTTATCCCCCGATTATATCCACTGACAAGAGATAAAATTGTCTTGTCCCTATGCCAAAGCACGGCAACGAGGAGAAGTATATCCACGTTTGACATAACGAGTAGACATATATCCCCCGTCCGTAGCATGGAGCCAAATGAAAGATAAAAATTATGCTTTTTGACATTTGAAAGGGACAATTCTATCCTAGTTAATTGGACGTGGGTTTCAAGTTTGTATTCATACAAAAAATCTATCTAAGTCTAAGTCTATCTCCCATTCTATCTACTGTGATATTATATCCACCAGTGTGCCCATGCTCGAAGGGTGGATAAAACTAAGCGAGGGGATAAACATTTTCTCCTTTCACCAGGGATAAAATTGTCTCCTGCCCATGCTAGCCCTGCTGCACTATTTATTTATTTTTGCAACATAAAATATTTGTGTACTTTGCCTGGAATGCTTGTTGCTCGGTAACCACTTTACTACCTAACACTCAATATGTATTTTGTTTTAATGTATTTCTCATTTAAATAAATTTTTGTAAGTTCTTATGAGAATGTCTTTGATCCCAATATTGGTCATATTGAGATGGTGTAAAATAATCTGATTCCTTATATCATGCCATGGGTATTGTAAGAAGCGACTGAGGAAAACTGAAACAGGAGATGTGCAGCATCTACCCTGTAAAGAGCTCAAATAAAAAAAAACTGCAGTTGCCGACCCACCTGCCAAGTATGGAAACTATGGCGAAAATCGGGTTGGCTTTAGTAATCTGTGGCACGATTTAAGTGATCATTTTAGCTTTACGTGATAGGCAATGATGCTATTGATTACCATCTAGCTGCTTTTTATGGTGGAAATCTTTAGTTTTCGAGATATCGATTATTATAATTTTGAGGTTATATCCATTTAAAAATGATACGAAAACGAAATAACAACATAATTATTAGAAAGAGATAGCAATAGAGCATGGTCTGTACCTGTTTTAAAAAAAAACATGCAATTTTAGCTGCTGCAGCTGCGTCGAAATATGTAAAATGATTTTATAAAAATATTCATAAATCACTAATTAATACCTGAAACTGAACTTTTGACATTGACAGTCACAGATATACTCAACTAAAGAGAATATAATCACTATTACGTTTATTTTCGACTTCACAACTCGCGTCATAAGCATCATTCCGTTACTTCTGAGTTTACGTGAATGTGCTCCTTATTGTTATTATCTGCCTCCTGTTTTTCGACGACTTCGCTACCCCTCTGGAGACCGATTGCTTGCTATTTTACGACGTTTTTGGAAATGGTGGAAGTAATAAAATATGTTTATTTATTAAAGTAATTATAAAAGTTAACATTTTCATGTTTATTTGGTACAAGAGCGAGCAAAGCAAGCTCCGGACTTGGGACATCCTGACTCGGACAGGCTAGGTTAGAAGTGGATGGCGGGGTCAAGTGAACGAGCGAAGCGAGCGAACAGACCCGACCGAGCTTCCCTTGACTGCGCTACGTTGAGTAGTGTTGGGCTACCCTCCCCCAACTCTCTCCCCCCACAAATCAGGTTTATGTTGTCAAAAACATTAAGAAAACATAACCTCAAATGAGATTTTTAAAAATTTATAAAAAAAAAACTAGGCACGTCCGGCAGGAAATGAAGGGGGGGGGGTGACTCTACAACTCCCCCCCCCCCTCGCCCACTCGGCGACCATATATTCATGCTGCAGATTACTAAAGAAATACACAAAAATCCCCCAATAAAGTAATCTAGTAGGCTAGGTAGGCTGAGTAAGCTGTAATGAGTAAATGAATGGAAATGACTCCATAAACTGCATATTAGTAATGGATCAAAAAGGAAAAGATGAAAAATAGAGCAGTTGTATAATGACACACTCCACATTTTTAATAATAATAAAAATAATAACATTTTTATATGTGGCAGAGCCATGCTACAGCTACAATATGGTTATAGTACTAATGTGTGGTGTTGATTGGGGAAAAGTCACACTCTCAAAGTATACTAGTGTGATATTAAAAACAGTATTACTCTAGCTATTATGGTATTTCACAACTTTAGTACATACCTCTAAAACTGCTGCATTTTGGAAAATTATAACAGTCCATTTTATAACAGACCAATATGTGTCTAGGGTACCACGATTTAAAAAGTGCTCCAAAGACTGCCATAATAAATAAACCCACCTACAAATAAATAAAAGTAGTGGATGAAGTTGTAAATATTTCGAAAATATGTGTTATTAAATATAATTTTACTTACCCTAATGTCTGAACAATATTATAACTTAAAAGATAATATTTCCCAAATCCCGAAGGTTCTGACATCTTAGATTTTGATAAGACTTTTTCTAACATGTTTTTTAACAGTAATATTCAGTTACTTTGAATTTTTACAGCTTTCACCTTACACCTTTAGGCTAAAGGAATTTATTATCGCAATTTAAGTACCTATGTACTAGTTAAGTACTTTAACTTTAGGTACTCTCGATAGAAAAGAATTTCCAGTATTCTATATGAACTTCGGAAAAGAGTAATAAATTTATTTTCGAAGTATTTACTTAAAATACAAAGAAAAATTAAACTAGTATTCTAGCATAAATTTACGTAGAATAAGAATAAATAATTAATAAATATACACCAAGCTACGTAACCCTAGTCAACTGTCATCTGTCAAAATCAGTCAAAACTCAAAAGTCAAACCTAGGGATACATTTTCAAACATCGATGTTCGTCAACATCGCTTTTGACACTCAAAACATCGATAGTACTCAAATGTAACGTTCTTGATGAGCAAAGTTTTATGATCGATGTTTTGGCTTGCCGTCAAGAAATCAGAGCCACAAGCCTCCGAAATAACCAACAATTCGAAACTATAAAATTCTGTACAGAATAATAGATCTTAGCCTAGCTAAGATCTATTTACCTGGCAACTTAAGGCAACTTAAGTACCCAGAGAGCAGTTATTCTCAGAGGCTGGAGCTACAATAGTCACACCAAAATGTTCTAATTTGACAATAAAACCTATACAGCTTTAAAGCTATGTTTATGAATATGACAATAGTTTTTGTTTCATCCAAATTGGTGCAGAAATACGAAAGTTATGACGTTTTGAAGTTTCGCAATATTTTTTTAATTTTTACCCGCTCGTTCTCTGTGACGTGACGTCACAATCCGAGAGAGCAAACGTGCAGTAGGAACTTGCTAAGTTCAGTACTAACCGCGCGCTCGGAAGTATACGGTCGTTTACGTACATATTATATCGAATGTCAGAGTTAATGTCCGGTTGACTATATTAGATGACGTAATACTTACAATAAACCCAACGACTATATAATAATTTCGAACTAATAATTTATGAATAATCTAATCTAATCCAAGCATCAAAGTAATCAATATAATTTATGAAGAATAATTTAATCTAATAATCTAATCTATTATTATGAATAATGTAATCAATGAAATATTAATAATATTTGACATTTGTATGCCCATGAGGATTCAACTCGGCTGGGTAGCGTTCGGGAAACTACGACACATCTTCTCGTTAGACATACCTCAAAACCTGAAAACGAAATTTTACAATCAGTGCGTTTTGCCAGTGATGACTTACGGATCTGAGACGTGGTCTTTCACTGCTGGCCATATGAGGAAGCTCAAGGTCGCTCAGCGAGTTATGGAGAGGGCTATGCTCGGGAATTCTCTGCGTGATAAACTTAGAAATAAGGATATCCGCAGTAGAACCAGAGTAACCGACATAGCCCAACGGATTAGTAAGCTGAACCGACAACTGGTGGGGAAGAAAGGTTCTCGAGTGGCAGTCCCAAAGACATGCAGGAAGTCGATGGATGCAGGTGGCTCAGGACCGTACTTTGTGGCATTCCTTAGGGAGGCCTATGTTCAGCAGTGGACTTATGAAGGGATGATGCCCATGAGGCTAATCACAGACTGAACTTTATTTGTGTTTAAATAAGACCTTTATGTAAACTGTGAATCACAAATAAACTATTTGATTTGATGTATAAACTAAAGTATTGAACATTTAGCTTTTATATGATTTTTTTCCAGTAAAATTAAATTAATTTTTATTTTATTTTATTTATTTATTTATTTTGACCAACAATATACATTCAGAAAACAAAAAATATGTGCTTACATATAATACAATACTATTGTTAGGTGAAAAACTGGTGCCTAAACTAAGTAAAACCTGCATCTTATGTCACCATTTTATTTCCAAGGAGTGTGATATAACAGAAATTTAAAAAAAGAACAGAAAATAAAGGTTACTGATAAAATAACATGACAAGAAAAATATGGAGAGAATAAAAATATAACAATAAAGACTACTGGTGGCATCGACGTGTCGTTTTGTGACGTCACATCGCGATGCGGCGCAAAGTGATCGCCCTTACCGTAAAACACCATTTTACTCATCAATATTTCAGACATTTTTAAAGGTAGGAAAAAATAAAAATATTAATTTTTTATACAATTTTTTGATACCCTTAACAAAATTGGGTGGCCAGACCTAGGAGAGAAATCCCTTACTGGGCATCAGGTTGTCAAAATTGTTATTTTTAAATTCAATTCTAAAGAAATAAACGTAAAAATAAAAATGTTTAATTAATACTTGTTTTCTGTTAAAAATGAATAATTATTCGATAAAAATAAATGTGTAAAAAGTAAATAGTGTAAAAATTCTTAAAATAACATAAACATAATGTTTGATTATTATACTTCTTTGTTTCATTTTTATTCAAATTCAAACAATGTTATATATTTATATACACCGTATTTTATAATTATTAAAAAAAAAACATAAGTGCTCTCAGTGTCTGTTACTGATCACACTTAGTAGAAAAAATTAAAATAATTAATTAAAAAAATATTGAAAATTAAGGGATATTAATTAGTCACTCATTTTTTTTTCATTCGTTTCGTGAGCTGGTGAAGTAAGCGAGGGAGTACGCATGAGAAAGAAGTAGTGTCGTAGGTACTGAATTATTGGTGGGAGATGGAACGGTAGCATCTTATGAATGGAGTGTGTACGTTATTTCCTTGTGTAGTATTTTCTAATACTGTGATAGATAAATAATAAAAAATGCTGACAGTGCCATTATCACTAGTAACTTCTGCTGCACCTGTACTTAAATTTTTTTGGTACTTATAAATTACAAAATAGTGGTGTATATTTAAATGGTAATAAAAAAACATGAAAAAAGTGATATATCGTTCATAAGTTTCGATGTTTTCAAAATCGATGATTCACTTTTGCAAACGATCAATGTTTTATATAAGCGTAGTCAAAACTAAGCTTTTATTAAGGTTTTTGTCTTGGATGCTTGTTCTTTAAGCCATGTCTTCAATTCGTTTTTATAGATATTTTACTTCACAATATGCTGATGTGTCACATTGCAGTTTTTGGGAAATTTAGCCGACAGCTCAACCCATAGGACAGTCGATAACGACAGTTATTCAAGTTCATAAGACCTAAGTAATCAAAATAATTTGAGGTTTATTTCAACATTCACAATGAAGTGAAATATGACGTCACATAGTTCGCCATAGAATTGTTATTTATTAATTCTAATAATAATTCTATAATGCTCGCCGATCGGCTCGTTCGCCATTTGATGAATCGTATATACTAGAACAGATCCAGGGACTAGGTATTAAACGAGACTAGGTTGCACCTATTTCGACTTCTAAACCACTAGAACTATCTTATATCACTGTGTCTACGCGTCGCACGGCAAGGAATCGCAGAAGTACCTACCGGCGCAGCGTAGCGATATTACCTTTTGTTGCCGTAGTTACTAGTCTGTTTTGCCGCGTTTGCGTGGTTGTTTAAATCATTTGTGTGTCAGTCATTTGAATTTAAAGTTTATTTCAATGTAAATACATTAAAGTAACGCGACGTGCACTCGTATTGTGCAAGATTATATTATGTCCTTTATTAACTGCACTTTTCCACAGTCTTTCTATCTCTGTCTGTCAATACTGGAAACTATAGTAAAATTATTTTGTCCGTGCAGTTGCGGTCTAAAATCATAGCTCGGCCTCAGCCCTGCTAGGGCGGTGAGCATGTTGCGCGGGCGCAACGCCATTATCGATAACAACAAATGAATCATCGAAGGCAGGTACACGGCGGCGGTGCGGTATACAAAGGGTGGTGCGACATTGTTATGTTATGAGTCATTTGTTTTCCGTTATTACCCCCGCCTAATACAAATTAGTGCAATGATAATTTAGTACATATATAAAAGAGAAATTTGTTTTTGTGCATTCGCTCTCTGAATTTAAATTTTTTTAATACATAGATACCTAATTAATAATTTATTTTAAATCATTATTATTCTTATTTTAATAAATATATTTATTTTTTTCATTTTTATCACTAACCCACATAATGACAAAACTAAATACTCTATCGATAACACTTATCGACAACAATAATGCGCATCACTATGCTCGCCCCTAAGGCTCGTGAGTGGGAGAGAGAGCGAAATAGTCCGATGATTTATGACCCAAGCTGCACGGACAAAATAATTCTAGTATAGTCGGGACATCAATCAAATACTAGGCAGATTTTATGCTTTAGGTACTTGTAAATAGTCGATGCGAATGAAGACTTATACATATTTGTGACATACACATAATTGTGGAAAAGCTTTACGTCCACGGATAGAATAACAATTCGTTTTAGTTGGATTTCTTCTTTTTAAATATTCCGGTTTTAAAAACAAAAAGAAAAGAAAAAACCTGCATGTTTTTCAGATAAAATATAGCTTAGATCACTCCCGGTATTGCTCTACATCAGTTACTGAAGCTTCATAACAGCCGATTCAGCCATTGCGGAGTTAACCTGTACAGGCAGACAGACAATTACTGACTTTTAAAGTGGTAGAGCCGTACTGCAGCTATATTAGTAGTATAGTTGTCCGGACTACAGTCACGCACGAATGGGTCCGCTCGACCGGGGAAGGACCACGCTTTCACAGAATACCAGCGTAAAATAGTAGCTTAATACTGCAGTGTTTCGTATGGTGAGTATAGAGAACCCGAGACCCTTTTTACTAGAAAAGAGGCATTCCATCTTAGTCCTCACGGGTGACAACGCATCTGCATTTTGATTCGCAAACGAGGAAAGATTTAAATGTCTATAGGCCACAGCAACCACTTACCTGTGGTACAACCGCACGAATCCACTAGCAAAAAAAATTACTATATTAACAAGTTAAGCAAGATATGAGGAATATTTCCACATCACCAAAGTACTTTATAGACATCTGATAAATACTCAATGACGAGCTGACGACAGAATTGGGGAGAGAGATCTAGTGTCAGAGAGTCTGCTTTTGGCGGCGCCATGTGAACGGTCCTTCACTTCTTTATAATATGGTCGAGGTGGGCGATGGCTGTCACATGCATCATACTTGTGAAATGTGCTTGTTGGAGCTGGACTGCTAGTGTTCGCCATGTGCTGATAAGCACCAAATTTTAACGTTCTTTTCTTTTATCATAAAACATACTTGAGTTATATAAATTATATATGAATGTCTTATATCTTAAAAAAAAATACCAAAACAGATGAACGGAGTTTCTCCCACCGTTTAAAAACGGTAATAAATTCGAAACAAAAAAAACAGTCGACAAATTAATTATGTAATGTGGACGTACCGAATATTTTATTAAATTTTGATCGTAATCTGAAGTAAAATACCAGTTTGCGTAGTGAAACTGTGTAATACTACAAGAAATAAGAAAGACACTGGGATCACATATTATCAGTAAGTATCATACAATTTCGAAATTTCAATATAAAATAACACGAGCCATAAATAAGTTACAAAAAATGAAAGACGTCATTCAGTGTTGCCGCGTATACAAAAATAAAGTTCCCCGTGGCTGAGATTGTTATATGTGAATTTATTGTTACTATATTTTATAATATAATATATTTAACTTATTATAATATAACCTAATTCTATATTATTTAATGTTTATTTTTGTAGTATTGCTCAAATGACCTAATATTTATATGTTGTTTTATTAATTGTTATTTTTATTATTAAAACATTATTTTCTTTTATTAGGGTTCCGTACCCAAAGACTGTCAACGGGACTTAAGTTTCCACTATCGTGCCGTCTGTCTGTCAGCAGGTTGTATTTTATGAACCGTAATATGTAGATACTTGAAATTTTCACAGAATGTGTATTGGCTATTATTGCTATAACAACATATAATAAAAATAAAATTTTGGTCACACCATATAAAATATAACTATATTTTTTAAATAATTTGTGAATATTAGTCAGACATTTAAATATAAAAATTAAACTGATAAAAATGAGATCTTATCATTTATATGCCATTTATTCAGAAGAAAAATCTACACATAACATACACAAATATATTGATACATTCGCTATTAATAAATTATTCATTTTTAAGTATTTTGGTCTACATTCATAACTATGAACTTAACTACTAAGCCATAGCATAAAATAATTTTTCCCGTTAATCAGGTAATAGTTAAGCTGCTGGCATATACAATTTTTCACGCACACTAGCATCCTTGCAATTGTCTTATACACACTGGAATATTGAGTTGCCGCATTCACGGAGCTGTTACTTTCAGGTAGCGCGGTATCTAGTCAGAGCGCGCGATGACCTATCATTAATCTATGTAGTGATTCATTAAGGCCGGCCACATACATACGGAATTCCGTTTCGGGATTCCGTTTCGATATTTTGATTCGGAATTCCGAACACAGTAAGTCCATATAAAATTTATAACCTGTCACACAAGCACGGTAGTTTTCCGTTCGAAATTTTGCGTGTAAAACGGGAATGTATGTGTGTGGCCGACCTGTTCGGAGTACCGAAACGGAATCACGTATGTATGGGGCGGGACTTAGTTACAATGCAATTCATACGCTTTTAAAACAAAATCCCAGAAAATAGTCAAAGATTGTCAATCAACAAATTTAAAAGCTTTGTTAATGAAATATTGTACAAAGTGGGTTATTATAATATCAAGGAATACATGAACTAAAATAACCCCTGGAAATGAGGTGATCGCCACCATGCTGGTTCTATTAAAATGCGTATAAAAATTCGGCAAAATTATTGTAAGTTATATAGGTTTAAAAAATATAATACCGGGTTTCTTATGCCTCCTAAGGCAGAGGTATTTTGCGAACTTGTAGTAAATAAAAGAAAAATACTTTCATTTAGGTATTATATAACAATCTATATTGAATTACAATTTTTCTGTTATATTTTATTCTTTAAAGAGTAAAATATAATCACTATGTTTTAGTATCTAAATTATACGATCTACGTTGCCAATGATTAACAACTCTCTGAAGACAGTAATAGACAGTCATATTAGCTGGTTGCTAAACTAAAACTAAACTAAAGGAGAGAATATTATCAGTCAGTGCTGCCATATAAAAAACCCATTCAGTGCTAAACGGCGTAATGCTATGCAAAAAAGCGCTAGAACTTTGGTCCATAAATTGTTTAACAAAAAACACAAATAAAAATAATAAAATATGTATCATAGCAGCACGGGCAAACAAAGGTTTTCGACCAATATTTATACTGCCCATTCTTTCTAGTCCTTGAGCGTTTCGTGCATGATTCTATTTACCCCCTCTTGCATAATATTATCTTAGATGAACAATACGGTTTTGCCAAACGGCGATCTACAATAACTAATTTTATCACTTACACATCAGATTTGTTTTACGCCCTTGACACTAATACACAAACTGACAGTATTTATACTGATTTCCGGAAAGCATTTGACACTGTTGATCATAAAATACTATTGGAGAAGATTGTATACACGGTAATCTCTGGCGGTGGTTTAAGTCGTATGCCTCTAATAGAACGCAGAGGGTCGTTATTAAAGGTTCGGAGTCCGATATTGCTAATGTTATTTCTGGCGTCCCACAGGGCTCCATTTTGGGTCTTCTCTTGTTTGTGATCTACATAAATGATGTTAAAAATTGCTTTAAAATAGTCGGTTCCTTTTATTTGCTGATAATTTCAAAATATACCAATGCATCGATAGGATCACTATTTTCTTCAAGAAGATCTTGAGAGACATAACAATTACTGTGCCCTTAATAATTTACAACTCAATTTAAATAAATGTAAAGTAATCACTTTCACAAAAAATCGGAATTTAAGTTACTTTAACTATTCCCTTAACGGTACAGATATTTTAAGGGTGAATAATATAAGGGATTTAGGAGTGACTTTTGATAGGAAATTACATTTTGATATTCATATACAAAACATAATTAGTAAAGCTTTTATAATGTACGGACTTGTTATGCGTTCTTCGATTGGATTTTATATCTCTGGTCAGGCTCAATTGGAGTACGGAGTCCTCGTATGGAACCCACTTTATAAAAAATATAATCATAGCATTGAAATGGTACAAAAGAAGTACTTACGTCGTGGTAATTACAAATATCACTATAAGCGTTTATCGTATGTGCTCCTTTTAACAAAATATAAACTTTTAGACTTAAGGTCTAGACACACTCAACTTGAGGCAAGATTACTTTATGATCTGTGCAATAAGATATATTAGAGTATGATTGCACAGATTTAATTAATCGTATTAGTTACTCCGTACCACTTCGCGTAAGTATGCGTTCTTTGCGTCCTCACTCACTCTTTACTGTGCCAAGATCTCGGACAAAGCCGATATCCGATCGCCCCTACATCGCATGGTTGACACATACAACAAAAAAATTTATTCAGTAGATTTATTTTATTGCAGTACCAGATGACAATAGCAGCTAGTTAACTTGCTGTTAAGCACTTAATGTCTCTTTTATAGTCTTGAACACAGTAACTACTAACACTAACTATAAATTATCTAACCTAGGGCTTCCCAAACTTATTTTTACTGTGACGCCCTTAGGAATTTGCCACTTTTTTGCGACGCCCCTCCTCTGTCCAAAAAATACCTACCAGTTGTAATTCTAGCCTAGTAACAAGATACCAGAAAAACTGCAAATAACATTTATAATTTTTATTAAATAATAAGAAAAAAAAAACAACAACAAAAATGAAAAGAGATACTTCGTTGGCTGGCAACTAATGAGAAGGATGTGCTTGCTTTTCTGAGCATAGCTTCTCAAAACGTGGCTCAAGTTTGGAAATTGCCACTCTCATCTCTTTCTCTACATTTATTTTCGATCTGTACTTGTTCTTTATTACGGCAATTGCAGAAAAGCCTGTTTCGCACAAGTACAATGTCGCATATGGTAATAGAACCCTCAATGCTGCATAGCTGATGGCACGATAGTCGTAAGAAACTGAGCTCCAAAATTCAAACAGTTTGTCTTTGTCGTATTGGAGCTTAAGGCTGGAGTCACAGGACAATTCTATTAATTGTTCTTCTTCCTTTGTCGAAAGTGTTGATGGTGAGGTCGACTGGAAAGGGTTTCTAACCCAGTCATATTGCTCCAGATTTTCTGGAAAATAGTTTTCAAAATGTTCACTTAATGATGACAAGTGCTGTGTAAAAATTAGTTTTAGAGAGGCATCAAGGCTTTCTATCGAGTTTTCTTGTAGAATGCATTGTAAAGCAGGGAAACAGTCAGTATGTACATGATCTTCTTCTAATTTTCTCTTCCATAAGAGCAACTTCTTCTGAAACCCAGTAATTTTATCTGCCAGTTGCAGTATGTGAGTATTGTTTCCCTGCAAGGACTTATTAAGATCATTTAATTTCTGAAATATATCATAGAGATATGCCAATTTTATTATAAACTGTGTATTAATAAAGTTTTGCGCATCATTGTGTAATTGTGTCTGTAGATAAGTATAGAACTCATTTCGTAGTTCGTATACAGGTGCATATCCTTTGGAATGCGTACATTTCCTTTGGACAATCAACGAGAGTTGCAATAATTAATTGAAGAAGTATGCTCGGCACCCAATTCTTCACAAAGCTTATGGAAAAATCTCGCTTTTACAGGTCGTGTTTTAATGTAGTTCACTACATTGATAATTATATCTATCACAAAATTTAATACAGGTGTAATTTTATTTGCAGCTAAAGCCTCTCCATGTATGACACAGTGTGTCCATTTTACATTTGGAGCCTTGGTTTTGATGAGAGCTTGTAGTCCTCTACACTATCCGGACATCGCTCGAGCACCATCCGTACACACACCCACACAGTTCTCCCAGTTAATATTATTTTTCATGTATGAATTTAAGATCTCAAATAGATCAGTATCCTTACCACTTTCACCTATTTTTCTGCAAAATAACAAATCCTCACACACATTTGTTTCTTGTATGTACCGCACGTAACATATCAATTGAGCATCGTCATTACTATCCGTCGCTACATCAAGTTGAATGGCAAATAAGTCTAAAAGTTTCTCCACAATTTGTTCATTAATATCTTCTACCATATCATGAATACGGCGGCTAATCGTATTGTTTGAAAGAGGTACATTTTTTATTTCTTTAGCCACCGATTCTCCAATCATCACTGATACCATATCAACCGCTGCAGGTAAAAACAGTTCCTCAGCAATTGTATGTGGCTTCTTACATTTGGCAACACGGTGAGCTACCTTGTTGGAGTCAAGCAATGCTTTGGTAGGAACTGATGCTCTTGAAAGCAAAGCCGTGGACTGATGTTTCAGTTCTCGCAATTTTCTAACAAAAAACTCTCTCGGCTTACCTTGTAAATTACTGTGAGTTGTTTCCAAATGACGTTTTACTTTATTAGGAAGCATACTTTCAGCTGCCAACACTATGACAAACAACACATTGAGGAAGTTCAACATTCCCTTTAGTAATGTAGGTAAATCCGAAATCCAAATATTGGTAGTCATATTTTCTATAATTCTTCCGTTTTTCTGAAGTTTTGAGTCTTCACTTCGTTTTCTATTTCTTTGAATAAAATTATCCATAGTCGATATTGAAACTCCGCGTGCGTAATTAAAACAAAAGCTTGACTGACTGAAACGATATGTATACGCGGGGGAAAGGGGAATACACGGAGGGAGGTCGACGGCGGCGCCGGCCGGCCGGCCGCAATCGACAGAACAGAATCAGAATCTCATTCGACTCGGTCGCCAATCTGTAGACCCTTGGCGACGCTCCTGGGATAGAGCCGCGGCGCCCTGGGGCGTCGCGACGCACAGTTAGGGAAGCAATCTAACCAATGACTACATATATGTGCATGCATAGACACACACACGATCACGAGCGCATGTGCGCACTCACAGGCTGACACACAAACACAAAACTCTAACCTCCAATACATGTTAAAATAATACTGTGGAAATTAAGGTACTTTTTTACAAAATTAGGTCCCTCACATATTTATTCTATATTTTATAATCTATGTGTGACCATAGTCATTGAGTTTATGATAAATAAGAAATTGTAATAGAACATAAGCTTTAGCATAAGATATATTGTAAACTTGTTTGTAATTCTCTAAATAAATAAATAAAAAACAATTGACGCGCATCTGCACGCCAAAAATTATTATAATCAAACGAGTTTCTTAAGTTTAAAATTAAAGAAAGTTGAATTCACACATATTATGATCTGCTAGCTAGGAGCGTAATACTTTCAGTGTAACCCAAGTATTATAAAATACAGTTACCGTTACAGCCTATTAAAATCTTGACAAACGGGATAGCAAGTGCAGTTTTTTTTAATTGTTATTAGGAAGACGCTACTGCCCATCACCTGATATGTTTCCCTCTGTCGTCACTTACGACACCCACGGGATGATATGGGATGGTAGGTGTTCTTACGCCACTACACGTAAACTATAATATACTGACCGGCACAAAAAACGACTCACTATGATTTCTTTAATTAAATAATCTTGAAATTATATTTGTGTTATTTTCGGCCAGGAACAGGTTGCCGAAGACCCTACTCCTTACTCTAGCAATACTACTTCGACTGCTGTTGAAGTCTGGAATCACCTTGCTGAAGTTCGAGGCGTGCATGTAAGTAACAGGGCTATCAGGAGACGCCTCAATGAAACTGATATCAGGGCCAGAAGGACTGCACATGGCCCAGAGCTTACCAGGCAGCATTGATTCAGCAGACTTGCATTCGCACATGAACATGTTAATAGGGATATCGAACAGTGAAGCCAAGTACTGTACACAGATGAGTCCCGCTTTTGCTTAAAAAAATTTTTCTAAGACAATTAATTACATAAAATTCAAAGTGACTCATCTTTTGTGCCGGTGAGTGTATAATACAAAAACTTTTGTAAAGGCAAGTAAAAGTGCTTGCACTTTACTTTACTAAGCACCACTTACGATGGTAAACTGTAAGTTCGTTTGTCACAACAATCCTTTTTTTTTAGGATAAGGGTGACAAACGAGCACACAGTCCACCTGATGGTAAGTTGTTGCTGCGGCCCATAGACATCTACATCTATCCTCGTTTGCGAATCAAAGTGTAGATGCGTTGCCACCCATGAGGACTAAGATGGAATGCCTCATTTCCAGTAAAAAGGGCGTATTTTAATTTTTTAATCTTATTAATAAAATTATACTGTAAGGTATAATTTAAGCAAACTATAGAGCGTGCGTATCTCTCATTGCCCATTATGCAAAAGATCAGCAGGTATTCTAAAAATACTCATACATATATGAAGGGGTTGAATGGTGATACGCCAAGATTTTTGGTAAATAATAAGATAATTTATAATTTTTGGTAAAACACAGGTACGAAGTTATAAAACGCAGTTTATTAATCAAACACAAAATCTAATTAATTTACTACCCCTTACAAAGTTTTATCTTATTACATAATTGTCGTTTTGTTTGCTTGATCACAGTTTTACTTCCAAGATATTTATTGTAATATTAGTATATTTTGAATAACATCCATTAGTTTTGAAAAAATTGTGAACATGCACACGTAATTACGTAAATAGCTGCCGAAGCTATAACTAAAATTATAGTTAGTTTTTTAATCGATTTTAAATAAATGTAATCTTACTTAAAATTTATGCTCTGGTATTGCACCTCCAACCAGGTTGCGCAGTCCACCCTTTCTTTCAAAAATGTACGAAGATCTAAAATGGATGAAACAAACGAAACTCCTGAGGCACTTGTCCCACCGTCAACGTTGAACGAGAAGCGAGTAGAGCTAGAAACTAAATAACAGCAGAATGTATAGTCCCGATAGTTTTGTCGCTGGGCTATAAGTGAGTATAGGTACTTAGATCCACACTGTAGAGTACAATGTCCGTTGGTCTCTAGGCGCGAGTTCTGACTTCTGATCGCCAAAAAATAAGCACTGAGCTCGTTTTATCTTTGCTAGCTCTATTCGCTATGACAAACTAGTAGAGAGCGAGTTCTAGCTGGCAATAAGAACTATGGTGTGAACAGTGAGTAATCAACTGTTAACATATATAATATGTATCTCTTTTACTGACACGTGATCTATATTAGTTTATTGTCCATTACTTGAGCGAGAAAATTGTAGATAGCTAATCGCTTTCTCGTCAACGGTTGGAGAAGTGCCTGATGTTGGGCTCACAGTTGGGCCTATTTATTGCTGTCACCTATTTATTTACTAATTCATGGCTATGGAAATCGGAAATCAGGAAAGTATTTTAACCGATTTTTCTTTATTATGTACCCATAAAAAAGTTATTCAAAAGTTTTATTTGAGACATTAATCCATATGGATTAGGAATATAAATGGTCTTAACTTCTAATACTATAATTATGTTATAATTATTATGAAAGAAATTATATAATTAAAAAATAAAGAGTGTACGTTTTACTTACTCGTAAAAAAAAGTATAGACAGCAGAAATTGCCTGTTACACAAGACATTGAGTTAGAAACTATAGAGGATAGTAACAAAAAGGGTAACTCTATTATGTTAAATAAAGAAACACAGACTACCTATATGGACGCACAGACACAAACAGAACAAAATCTAAAAACATCATCAAAACAGTGCAACATTACTTACAAAAACTTAACAGGCACTAAAGCCACATCTAAACAAAAAAATAAACTGTGTATAATAAGCAGCGGCTGCACAAAGGGAACTCTGCCATTAATTGAAAAAATATTCTTGGATGATTTTGACTACTGCCATTATCTACTGCCAAATACTGCCACAAACGATTGGTTAAATAATATTGAAAATAAGCTACAAGACTTTACAATGAAAGATTACTGCTTGATTTTTATAGGTGAAAATGATATAAAAAACAACGAGTACTTAAATATATTGGAGGACCTAAAAAAGTCATTGAAAAATGCAACTCATACCAATAGCATCGTATGTACACCAACCTACAAAAAAGGTGCACTCATACACAATTACAGAATCGAGCTATTCAATAATCTCCTGTGCTTAGACGTAAAGAATCAAAAATATGCCTATTTTTTCGACAGTAATTTCTCTCTGACACGTGAAATGTTCTCCTATAAGACTGGAAGAATAAATAAAATCGGATGGAAGAACATCTACGAGAACATTATGTCAAATATAATGATAGTTAAACGAACTATTTTCTGCTCATGACGATCAAGTAATTATCACTTTGAACCAACCAAGTAGAATCAATGAATGCACGCCGCAGGAAACAGGTGAAGAAACCTTTTTTCGTGACCACTAAACACCTGCATGTTCTACATCAGAATATTGCAGGATTAATGAACAAATCTGAAGCAATCTCGGTAAGCCTTGATGAACTATTAGATGAAAATATAAATGTGGACATCTTTTGTTTTACTGAACATTTTATCATGGCAGGTTATAAATCCCTCCTAAGTTTTCCAAATTATCAACTAGCAGCATGTTTTGCTCGAAAGGAAAGTAAGAGAGGAGGATCATGCATACTCGTCAAAACGGCCATCGTTTTAAGGAATTAAATCAAATTGCAAAAATATCTGTGACTGGCGTGTTTGAATGCTGCGCAATTGAACTGATTGACTGTAAGATAGTTTTAGCATGTGTATACAGGGTAAACTTAGTAATTTTAATTTATGTATAGAGAAAATACAAATAATATTTCAAACGCTAAGTAAGAATTGTTATGCTAATATTGTAATAGCGGGTGATTTTAACGTAGATTTATTTAAGCGAAATGTACAGACTTTAGATTTTGAATGTGTATTTATGAATTTTGGTTTGAAATTGGCAGTAAATCAACCTACTCGCCTAAAAATTCAAACATGTATTAACAACATCGCTCATAATTTTACTAAGAAATGTGTTGTTAAAGTGCGTGAACTAGGATTATCTGATCACACAGCACAAATATTCAAATTTTCTGTTCAAACAATTTTTAATAATAAATACTGGCGAGTCACTAAAAGAGACTATTGTAAGGAAAACATAAGTAAATTCAAAAGTTGTTTAAAAAGCTTATCGTTTTCGAATGTATACGAAACTTCTGATCCTAATGATGACTACAATATTTTTTTAGATACATTTACTCTTTACTATAAGTTATGTTTTCCAGAGGTAACTAAAATTATTAATATTATCAAAAAACCCAAATGGATATCTCGCGGCATAAAAAAATGTAGCAAAAAGAAGCGCCAATTATTATGGCAATATAGGCATAAACCAAATGAAATAAACAAAAATATTTTTACTAATTATTCTAAAAGACTAAAACTTATAATTAAGCTTACTCGGAAAGCACAAAATAACTATACAATAAAGACCTCTGCGTGTAAATCTAAAGCAACTTGGAAGATAATTAATAGTTCAAAACGAAATTTACCCAGAAACATTATT